TGGCTTTTTTTATGTTACGTCAGAAGCTACATCCTAGTAATATCGAAATCCAAGAAGCCCTTGACATTTGCCCTGTGCTACTTATCCACTAGTCGTTGGTGTTGCTTTTCAGATTGTACCACAGAAATTCATAACATCCAAAAATTTTGCAGCTTGCTGATCAATTACAAGTGGTTCGTAAAGGTCCACAACATCAGGCTGGATCGGATTCACTGTTAACAGCGGAGACATTTTTCAGAATCAAGGAACGGTTTTTCGAAGATAACTGGAAAGAGGTATTTTCAAATTTTTAATTTTAAAATGTATTGACTAGAAACCGTGAAGGGGAGGGGATATTAGGGATATCATTGGTGATGTTGAAAAGTTAAATCTGGTAGACATTTTTTGAACTGTAACTTGTCATTTCATGATTCGTTTCGATGATAGTTGGTACTGGCATATACTCAACGGACTTCCGAAGTGCATCCATTCTGGATTAAATATGGAAGAGGTTTTGATTTAACTGCACGTTGAGACGCTAAGATAAAGCCGGAAGGAGATAAGAAAGACAAAACTGCTGAAGGGATTGAGAAAATAATAAGATAAAAAACGTTTCGGTCCATTAAGTCGAAAACGAAAACTCTGTTGGGGTTGAGAAATTGATGGGGTGAAATGTGTTTCGGTCCATTAAGTCGTATACTTCTCTTAACACTGATGTTTCCTGCTTGTTTTTCTAACCAGTTTCAATGATGCGTTTTTTTTTTCAGGTTGCACTAACTGTCGAAGGCCACTTATATGGGCTGGGGAATACGCTATCTTCAACTGGACCCTATCCACATGTCTCCGATTCCTCATCAACACCGGAACCGCAGGCTTCCTCGACACCCGATTCGACGTGCTAACGCGCGCTGAATCAGTTTAGACGATGCCGTTTTAACAGCATTGGCTAAATTGATTCGTTCCTCGACTAAATTTTGTGATAGGCCATTAGTGGTCCGTTACCAATGTTTTCTTTCGATTCTGCACTTTTCGTATTTTTTTTTTATCTGTTTCTAACAGGTTTTTTTTCCTTCATTTTCAAACCTATCTGCCATCTTTTTCATTGTTTTTTTCTTTTTTTTTTTTGTGATTTCTAGGCCCAGTTATGCAAAATTTGCACCGTTTTGATTGAATCTGCCCGATTTCTCCCCTCCCCCCTTCCCACACTTTTCCCCTCCCATCACCCCATTTTCGTCTTACATAATCCAGCGCTTCTGAAGCGGATTTTTTTCATTGTTTGCCTCCTTTTTTTCCATAAAAAATTGTCTCTTTTTGAGAGGCATAAAACTGTCTTTTTGTGAAGACACATAAAAAATTAGTCCACTTTCTCCCTACCTTCCCCCCTCCCCCAGAAAAAAAAAAGAAATGTTGTTCTCCGTAGCTTTTCTGAATAACTTTTCCCCTCTGCGTCTTTTCTTTCAAGAGATTAAGGATGCCTACTTCTTAGGGCTTTGAATGATTTTTGCGTGTGTGTGTTTTTACTTGTGTTTGTGTATTTGCATTTATAAATAAAATTTATCTGCTCTTCACAGGTGCCCATCACTTGCGACTATGATTTTCGGTACCACAAGTCACAAAAGCTCATCTGAGATAATCGTAGGTCCTGGGACCAAATTTTGGCCCCAGAAGGCCTAGGAGTCTAGGCTATGCAGGGGGTGGGAAGGAGGGATATTTTCGAAAAGCAGTTGAGGCCTTGGCGCTGTTTGTTGGGTACATATTCGAGCTGTGAGGGTCGTAATATCAGGTTCTTTGTCTAGATGAGGTTTTAGATGTATCTAGGGTTGGTAACTTGCTCTCAGCATCAGAATTCTATGCTGAACATAAAAAACCTGTGGAGACCCCTCCTTCCTCGTCTCTCATAAATCCCGCGGCTCTTTTCAGTTCCTACCTCCAGGCAAAGTCTCATCTCCTTTCCAGTCATTCCAGGATGATTATGATGTTTATGGGATGTGGTGTGCTTAAAGTGATGTGCGATTTGGCTTTTCCAAGCCTGATCTGCATTGCTTTTAGAGCATGGCCAAGATCGTTTAGTTGTTTAGAGAATAAGGCGAATTTAAATCATGGGAGCATAAAGTTAGAGGAAAATGGGAAGTGAGCAGTTTACGAGAATAACTTATACCAGTGGCAAGAAAATTTTTTTCTTGGAAAATTTTCAGAGCCGAATATTAAGGTAAGTATATGAACGAGAAGCCAGTTTGACAAAAATATGGAAAAGTATGGCTTAGGAAGAGATGTTTCAGTCCATGAAGTCGTATATGTTTCTTCCCAGTACCACAATTAGCCCAAATGTTATCAATGAGAACAATTGGTGGTAAATGTGGAGGAAGTAAAAGCATAACTTAGAAAGGCATATTTTAATCCATGAAGCCGTATACATTTCTTACCATTACCACAACTAGTCCAAACAAATGAGGACTATTGGAGGTCACGAAGGGAATGGGGGGTTTGCGTTGTTATGTTTCTTGCTTGGTCTCGAAACGACTAACCGTTTCCTGTGGGATTTTCCTGTTGCATTTCTGATTGCACTGGACTGTATCACAACGAACATTTCTTCTTCCTGGACAGTTGTGAGTTGGCGTGGTTGATTGTTGTTAGTGCGAGAGTGTTGATTCCGAGATGCCACCAAAATTCGATCCATCAGAAATCAAAATTGGTAAGTTCGAGGGTTTTTTGGGGATTCTATAGAACAATGCGCGGAAACTTCAAAAGATGGGGGTAGTAGCATTGCAGCAAACCATGAAACTGCGCATTGCAGAGATAGGTGTCAGCAAGTTGCAGCACATGTCACAGATGCGATTTCGAACTGGTATTACCACCTGTCCGATGCATATGCCTTCTTGAGGGTCGCCCGAGTGGTCGTTTACTTTCTCGTTGATACCCATATAATAGATACATTTGAAACAATGGGAAATATTAAGCAGCAAATTGTAGCAACCAGATTGACCCTGGCAACCCATATGGCGAAGGCGCAATAGATTATAGCATGAGAGAAGGAGGTAAGAGTGAGATAAGAGGCGTTTCGGACCATTAAGTCATATACGCCTCAACTCAACAGCCCCGCTCAACGGGACCCCTCAGTATGATAGTCGCAGTGCTTAATGAAAAAGGGGAAGAAAGGCGACAGAAAGAAGCACAAATTCATGCCCTGTGCTCTTCTGCTCTTAAATTATTGTTTGTTTTCAGTTTATTTGCGATGCGTT